CCCATGTTAAAATGTACTGTAAGTGGTATTATTGATTACCTAATAAAATGTAGTAATGGCATAGTTGAGTAGATTTTGTTTTTATTGTTATTAACCTTACAAATGCAACACAACTCCATCAAAACCATGATATGTTGATGTAGAATTGTGCTGTTTATGTTTTTCAGTTGTAGTAAACCTGGGTTTTTAAACCTTTTATCCATTGTCTTTTTTTATTATTCAAAAATGTATTGGGTAAAAACAGTTAGTAACTGCTACAGTTTAAGATGCATTACATTTAGAAATCACTGGTCAATGTTTGACGTTAAACATTCCTGTCCAGTTTAACCTAAGCTAAGCAGTCCTATTGTTTGTGTCATCTCTCCTGGCTACGATATTGATATATTTGCTATCTTTCTTACAGCCTATCTGTGATGTGTCCCTGGCCCAGATCAGTGATGTGGACAGGGCAGTATCTGCTGCCAAGGAGGCGTTCGAACAGGGGGAGTGGGGCAAGATGAACCCAAGAGACAGAGGCAGACTCATTTATAAGTAAAAGCTGAATATCATGCTTTGTATACAATGCAGCTTAAATTTTCAATTACCATTAATGGTAAATGGACTGTACTTATATAACACCTTTCTTGCTTACCCATTCATACATACATACATACATACATACATACATACATACATACATGCATACATACATACAAACTCTAATAGATCTATACAAAGCATAATCAGAGTTTTATCACATTCATACACCCATGGGACACACATCAGAGGCAACGAGGGGTTCAGTGCCTTACCCAAAGACACTTCATCATGTGACTACTGGTGGAATCAACACCCCAGCTCTCCCATTGGAGGACGACTGCTCTAACCACTCAGCTGCAGCTGCCCCATTAACAGCCATGTTCCAAGAAAACGGTCTATTCAGGAAGAATTAAGAGATTAGATAATTACCCACTGTAGGGATCTGCACCTGCCCTGCTCTATGCAGATAGTTAATGACTCTCAGGTGC